AAAGTTCGCAGAAGGTCCACTCAAAATCTTGGCGAAAGAAAAAAAAAAAGGAAAGTCAAAGAGAAAGGATATAATGAAATTACCTTCTGAGTGGCGAGAGAGGAAGAATACGACGAAAACACTGTAAATTCTCCAGCAAAATAGATTTATTCGGTGCGGAAGAAGATGAAGAAGACACCGTAAATTTAGTTCGCCGGCGAAAGAGTCACGGCGATCGCTTGATTTCAAACACGGATACTAATTCAAAAGTGGGGCAATATAGAATAAAGTCCAATTGATAAGCCGCATTTATTACAACCTTTGTTTAATACAGTGATTATTTATAACCTGCATATGCACGTGGCATATCTTATTACAAACGTCTGTCAACCATCAGTTACAGCCTTTTAGTGCGGACTGCGGAGGATGTTTAATCACTATTGAAAAACTTAATCAAATTTAAAATATTGAAAAACTTAATCAAACAATTTTATTCCTATTCAAAAATAATTAAGAAGTTTAATCACTAAAAACTATAAATACTAGGCAAGATATTTTAGATTTGGAGACTTCTCAAGAAAGAGATTTATGGAATCACAGATTCAAATTTAACTGTTGCTTTAAAAAAAAGATTTGAATTTAACTTTTTGATTATAATTTTAGTTATTAGATTTTGATAGGATTAGAAATTCTTTTGTAATTTTAAATATTGTTAACAAGTAATCCAGAAATCTAAAATGAATATCACCCATGATCCAAGTATACCTTGCTCATTCATCAGTTTCATCACAGAGCAATACCGTAAAAACACAAAGCTTGGCTCAACTCCATGGAGCCGTACCATCACCAGTGCATACTACCGTGGAGCCGTCCGTTGGCGCACTCCTAGTATATGATGTAACCCGCCGTGTAACGTTTGAGAACGTAGACCGGTGGCTAAAGGAGCTCAAGAACCACACTGACCCAAACATTGTTGTGATGCTCGTTGGTAACAAATCTGATCTACGCCATTTACTAGCTGTTCCGACGGAAGATGGTAAATCCTATGCTTGAGCAGGAATCGCTTTGCTTCATGGAAACATCAGCACTTGAAGCCAAAAACGTGGAGGATGCGTTTGCAGAGGTATTAACACAGATTTACCACATTACAAGCAAGAAGCAAGTAAAAGCTGGTGAAGACGGGAACGGATCTATCCCAAAAGGTGAGAAAATTGATGTTGAAAACGATGTCTCTGCTCTGAAGAAACTCGGTTGCTGCTCGAATTGAATGCGTTTTTCTTTTTAATCTGTTGAGATAGATTATAACCCCAAGATCCATTGTTTTATATTGTTCTTGTTTTGTAACAATATGAACATCTATATGAGTTTTAGACTATACATGATATAATGTTTCGTTAACTTTGTTCCAAAGTATTGTTGATTAACCTGTTCCAAAGTATTGTTGATTAACTTGTTACAGACTACATCACAGCAACTGAGCCATTGTGTCATCGAAGTAGCAGTCTCGATCTTGTTTGGGATACAAGACATCAACGAGAAACTTATTCAATCTTTGTCCAACTAACGAGTAGCTATTAATTTTAACTACGGATTAATACTTTAAACTGGTTATTAATGCGCCACCAGTGATTAATATCTATAATGGGCCGAAATATAAGTAGCCCATCAATCAAACATTCTGATTCATATTACTGGGCCTAACGATCAATACACCATTAAGCTTCCCCCTTCCCCCACACTCTTGACTCTGCCAAATACTTTTCACTTTTTGATTGCTTCACGTAGAAGAGAACTTCTACAATCCACACTCACCGCGACCATTTTTTCCGATGGATCTAACGACGCCTCGCCAGAGACGTCCACTTCTATCCGCCTCCTCTTCCTCTTCACCAAAGCCGTACTCGAAGACTGACAAGCCAAGCCGATCTAACGGCGGAGATGCGGAAGATCGCGGTCTCGGATGGTTCTTACCGTTTATAGCGCTATGCTATCTCCGTTACATGAGCGCGACTTCTAACATCATTCACGACTGCGATGAAGTGTTTAATTACTGGGAGCCTCTCCATTACCTTCTCTACAAGTCAGGGTTTCAAACCTGGGAATACAGGTCTACTTTTTCACTGTATTGATAATCGCATTAGTGTGCGTTTGAGATCATAATCATTTGATTAATTATTTTTTTGTTTGTTTTGCAGTTCGAACTTTGCGCTTCGTTCCTATTTGTACATTCTGTTCCATGAGTTGGCTGGGCGGCCTGCTGCTTGGTGGTTTGGTGATGACAAAGTAAGCATTTGTAGACTTTCTGGATTGTATTATGTAAATGTGTGTATTTATTTATTTACTTGTGTGTTTGTTATATTATGTGGATAGGTTAGAGTTTTCTACGCGGTGAGGCTCTTTCTCGGATTTGTTTCTGCAGTGTCAGACACTGTTCTGGTTGTTGCGCTCTCTAGAAAGTACGGGAAGCGTCTCGGGACGTATGCAGTTGCTATGCTTTGCTTAACTAGTGGCTGCTTCTTTGCTAGCACCAGTGAGTGTACTTGTTTAGTTATAGCTTTTCGTTATTTTGTTTAAGGATTAATCTTAATGTTTCCTTAATATATTTATGTTGTTATGTATAGTCTTTAGTTTAGATATTGATTTGTTTTCCTGTAATTGGCTAGGTTTCCTTCCGAGTTCGTTCTCTATGTATGCCATGAGTCTCTCTTCTGGTTTGTTGCTTTTCGAGAAGTATGCCATGGCTGTTGCGGTTTCGGTTGTTGGGGTGATTCTTGGCTGGCCGTTCTCTATCCTGGCTTTTTTACCTGTTGTTGTTTACGCTCTGGTTAAGAGATTTAAGCAAGCGTTTATCTCTGGTGCTGTCACTTCTATTCTTCTCCTTGTAAGTCAACACCAGTCCTAGATGCTTTGTCTCTGTGGGTTTTATGGGACTTATTGCACGTTGCTGAGTTTCATTTGCATCTGTAGTTTATAAGTTAATGTGTACTACTCTAACTTGTTTTGCCTCTTTTCCAGGGAGTCTCAGTACTTGTGGATTATTGTTATTACAAGAGATGGACATCTTCGGTTTTGAATCTCTTGATATACAATGTATTAGGGGGTGGAGAGAGCCATCTCTATGGGACTGAAGGACCGTTGTTTTATATAAGAAATGGTTTTAACAACTTCAACTTGTGTTTCGTTTTGGCGATCTTGTTCATCGTACTTTATCCTGTTATCAGAAGAAAGTATGACCGTAGCTTGCTTGTTGTGATTTCGCCAATGTATATTTGGTTGGCGTTCATGTCACTTCAGCCTCACAAAGAAGAAAGGTGAGCTTCTTCTTTATATTTCATCTCAAGTTTAATCCTGGGACCAATTATAAGGCTGGCTTCTAGGTCTAGAGAAAACTGATTCCTTATATTCAACAAACATTGTTATTGATTCTCAATAAATTGCTGCAGGTTCCTTTATCCAATATACCCTCTTATTTGTGTTTCTGCTTCTGCTGTTATTGAAAACATCCCTGAGCTGTTCCGAGATAAGTACAGCACGCATGAAAGTCTTCTGGTGACAGTAAGTTCTAACTTACAATATATCATTCTCCGAATTATTATTTTCCAATTGAGAAGAATTAGATTGTACGATTCTCACATTTCGTTTTTGATATGCAGATAACCAAATACCTTCGACCTGTGATCCTTGGCCTTATCTTATGTGCTTCACATGCTCGCACATTTTCTCTGATTAATGGCTATTCCGCTCCCTTAGAGGTCTACAAGCTGCTGGAGCACCACGATGATGCTGGACCAGGTATAAACAGAACTCTTCAATCATTACAATGCAAACACAAGTGAAGAAGATAACATCTGGAATAGTAATATTCCATTGGATGAAGAGGAACAAAATCTTTTTGTCAAACTTTTCTGACTACTGTTCGGTTTTGTTGGTGTGCCAGGTTCTGTTCTGTGTGTTGGAAGTGAATGGCATCGATACCCATCATCCTTTTTCGTTCCTGACTACATTAGTGAAGTACGTTGGATCGATGATGGGTTCCGGGGTCTTCTTCCATTCCCATTTAACAATACACTTGGAGGCACTGCAGCATCACCTCCATACTTCAACAACAAGAACCAAGCCTCTGATGAACAATTTGTAAGACCCACACTCTTATCTCTCTCTCTCTCATGAAACCCTTGAAAATTTTCAAACCATGAAACTTGCTTGATTTGCTCTTTTCTTTCTTTCTTTCAGTTGAAGAATATCGAAACTTGCACATTCCTCATTGAGCTGCAGCTAAGCAGACCGTATGCATATCGAGGCAGCGACTTATCGACATGGGAGGTATAAGAATCAAACCATCTATCTTCCTGAAAGAAAATATATCTCACATTAATCACTTTCTCTACCACACAATTGTGGATTTATTTGCAGGCAATCGCGGTGCTACCATATCTAGACAGAGAGCTATCGCCAGCAAAGTATAGATCGTTCTTCATCCCATACAAGTGGCAAGAGAAAAACGTATTCGGCAAATACGTAATACTAAGAAGAGTACCAAAATGAGATCGTCTTTTTGAAAACTCTGTAGACAGATGACTTTAAACTCAGTTAATTGGCCAGTTTTGAGTCGAATGTAACCTGCTACTCTGTATTGTCTTTAAACTTCGTTTCCACGGTTCGTAGTGAGAAGTAGACTTTGTAGTAAATGGTCGGAAGGAAGAGCGTACATGTTGTTGATGTTGACATTAATGAATTATGATTCTGCAGTGTCTTTTTATCTTATGAATTATATGATTCTTTTGATGTTGTGGACAACAATATTTATGGGGCTTGCTTTTAAGTTGGCGTTTGACCAACGCGTACGGAAAAAAATTGAAGGGCATCTAACTTTTATTTTATTTTACAAAAAGAGTTCGTAAACTTTTTCCGAGATTATCACCGAGACGAGAGACGAAGAAGCTTCTTTTTAGCTAGCTCCGTTCTCTCTAAAAAAAACCTAAATTCTCTAAGAAATCGATTGAATCGGATATCACGCAACAATGGCGAATAGTAATCTTCCGCGTAGGATCATCAAGGTGCGTTTTTACACTTTTGCCTCCGATCTCAATTTCTCTCGGTTCCTTTTTTGTTTTTTTTTTTTTTTTAAATCTGGAATCAGAACTGGCTTGTAGCTCATCTAAGCTTGGAGAATTTTGATTGTTTGATAAATTTATCTGCGACGTGTGATCTGACTTTTTTTTGTTTTCTCCGATCTGGTAGGAAACTCAACGTCTGCTTAGTGAACCTGGTAATCTCATTGTTTCATTCTATCTTTGTTGAAAATTTACAGCTAGACTTTACCTGAAAAAAAACAAGTTGATGTTTGATATAGCTGCTGCTATTATGAATTTCAATTAATTATCGTATTAATGGTTGCAGCTCCGGGGATAAGTGCGTCTCCGTCAGAGGAAAACATGCGCTATTTCAATGTTATGATCCTTGGTCCTACCCAGTCTCCTTATGAAGGTAGTCTTCTCTCTTTTAATCCTATGATGTTTCTACTTAATTTTAAACAAGTTTCTTTGAAGTCGATACACTACAAATATGGTCGTTAGGGTTTAGACGCTGTTAGCTATAGACTTGTTTGTTTCTGGCTTGTGGTTGTTAACGAGCATATACGCTACTCTTGATTTTATCATCTACACGTTTTCTTTGTTCCTTTTGTGCTTTTTTTTTAATATGTATATATAGTTTCTTTCAGAATCAAGTCTAGTCTAGTGTATTAATGTTCACTATATGTCTGTTAATTGATTTTTGTTGTACCAATTATTTTGAATTTCATCCTCAATTTTGCTAGGTGGAGTATTTAAGTTGGAACTCTTTTTACCTGAAGAATATCCTATGGCAGCTCCCAAGGTAAACTTACTTCAACTTCTGTGAGTCTCATTTCATGTTTCTGATGCTTTGTCTTCATTCATTACATTCCCTGGTGGTAACTGAATAAAATTAGTTTGACCAAAAAGTAGTTGTAAATGGCTATTAAGTAGATTGTCTTTACTCTTTATAATTTCGATTTTTGTACCTAGTAGGTTGATGAGATTGGCGACTGTTGTTTTTTTATGAAAAGTCCAAATGCATTTTCATTTCACTAATAAGATTGGACAATGTACTCAAGTTTCAATATTGGTATAGAGTTTTGGGGTCTTATTGATGATATCGTTTGTAACACAGGTTAGGTTTCTCACCAAGATATACCATCCTAACATTGACAAGGTCTGTTGTTTCTCTTACCATCAAGATAACTATCCAAACACATACACATACTTCTATATATCCTTATGAAACATGTTTTTTTTGTTTGCTTTTATTTTGTATACTATATATATAGCTTGGAAGAATCTGCCTTGACATACTGAAAGACAAATGGAGTCCTGCGCTACAAATAAGAACTGTGCTCTTGAGGTATATAAATAATCCTCCATAAATTCACTCTCGCTGGTAAATTAAAGACATTATAACAGTTATGTATAGTAATTACTGACAGTTTATGATTCTTCTATTCCTTTTTTTTAAGTATTCAAGCTCTTCTAAGTGCACCAAACCCAGATGATCCCCTCTCTGAGAACATAGCTAAGCACTGGAAAAGCAATGAAGCAGAAGCTGTGGAGACAGGTGATGATAATATATTATCTAGAAACTGAAAAAGTTACAACAAAGTCGTTGTTCCTCTATAATCTTCTAAACTCATATCAATGTGAACATATATGCAGCTAAGGAGTGGACTCGTCTATATGCAAGTGGCGCTTGATAGAGAGTGCAAAAGGAGAAAGTTCATTGTCATTTTATATAACACTACAAATGGCGAAACACTCTATTTCAAGGTTTTATCTGAATCTTTTTTTTTTCTAAAACAGGAATGACAAAAGATGTGTACTCTATGAATATGTATAACTAGGGGGATGTAAGACTCTTTACCCATATTTGCAAACTAACTTTCTTCAAATGTGTGTGTGCTTGAGCTTTATCTGTGTTGATTATCCTCTATAATCATTTAAATCAACTGTAGATAATAAGATTTCACAGGTTGTGGATGAAGGTAAATGTGTAAATGATTGAAGTAGAGAAAATGTTACTATTACAGATGTACTTACGCGGCCACTAAAATGAAGCAGCTTATTTTGTCAAATGTAAAAAAAAAGTAGTCATGTGGAATGATATTTCAATTTGTTTTCTTTTTCTTTCTTATAAATGGCATTTTCAGAAACTGGAGTCGTCAGTAGATGGACGCCTCAAGAAGTACCTCAGACTATTAGCAAGAACCTACAAACAACAGTTTAATTTACTCAGTAATAAGATTTAGATAGTTAAAATTATAAGAAAAATATGATTGCTGAATTTTCTTAATTACCTGCTGGAGAGGCTTGATTAGAGCTTTGTTTCTGTAGCTTACATGGAACTTTACCTTAGCCAACAAACCCTTAACATACAACAAGAAGAAGCAACTTGAGCAAAAGCAGAGTAAAAATATTTCTAAAATTCTAAACTAAGGATTATTAATTACCTCGGTATCGAATTCTCCAGATTCGACAGCAACACTGATATCTGTAATGATCTTCACCAGCTCAACTAATAGTCCAGGCCTATCCGCTGTTTCTATGTATAGTAAACTGCATTATCAACAATAATATTTTATGGATCAATTAACACATATTACTATTATAAAGTATTTTGAAGTAGAGATCATTGAAGATAAGGTATGGGTTTCCCTTTACCTGCGGTCTGGTCCATCATCTTCAATTTTTATATGTGTTGCAATGTCCACATCAACCTGTCAACAATCCCATTCCAACATGCAAAACAAAAGAATGATCTTGAGGATAACTTCGAAGTTGTGTGCTTATTATCTTTGTTCATCTTACCGACACGCCAACTCTAAATATGAGTTAAGTTTTTTTTTTTTCTCTCTTTTCTCATTTCTTATCTGTACCTTACCGAGGGGGTAAAAATCTAAGATACTTAACTTGTGAAGCACGAGATAAGAGAATAAAGAGCATCAAACAATTTGACTCAAACTCAAAGTTTTTTTTTAACCTGTTCAGTAGGTGGAAGAACACCAAAAGCTGCTCCCATTGCCAACTGAGAACTTGATTCCTGTTCCAAATAATCAGACAAGCAAAAGTTAAGAAATGTTATGCAAGATAGAAACTTTGCTATATACAATAAGTAGTTAATTAGTTATACAGGATGAAACTCAAGCAAATTGTTAATGACAGTGAGACGGATGGCCTCGAGCAATTCAGGGTCTTCTACTTTTCTTCCACTATCCCTGTTTCAGATAGTTACCAAGATTCAATCTAGAATCAACTCTACCACTTGATTTAGAGTAACGGTAATATAAATAAGGACATACGCTTTAGTAATGGCAAATTTGTTGTGCTTTCCAGAAGAATCAAGGTAGACATTAGCCTTCACGACATTCAGACCCAAGTTTTTTAACGCATTCATCTGTACAAAAATATTTAATCAGATAAGAAGGGAGAGCGTGTGATTATGAACACACGCAGAACCAAGACTCAAGAGAAGAAAAAAAGAAGTAGGAAGTATATTTTCATTACAGTGTCAAGTAGAGCTCCAAGACGATCTCCAAACGTTACTTCAACAACGGTTGCATCAGGGTCAGAATCTTGGTCGACTATGACCACTGGAGTTGGCACTTCATCAGAATCTTGCTTACCATTCTTCAAAAGAAAAAATTAAAACAATTTAGAATATTTTCTTTGACCGTTGTTTCTATACACTCTTCTTGTCTACTCCGATCATTTCATACCTCTACAGCAGTAGCGTTTGCTGCTCGAGTCTTCAACCCCAATAATCTGACACAGGAACATAAAACAGTTTCACCAAAAATACAAAACAGAGAAACATAGTAATCTCAACCAGTTAATAACATTAAAAAAAGAAACCTTATTGGTCGCTCGAGATTCGTAGTAGGTTTATCGACAAATCCAAACGTGATTGTCCTTGGAGCAAGAAGACACAAAGCTCCTAAATCTCGTCTGATGGCGCGAGAACTAGAAGTGAAACAAAGAGCAGAACCAGAAGCAGAGGCCATAGCAGCCACCATAGCTGACTTGACTTGACTTGACTTGACTTGAACCCGAAGCAAAAAAAATCAAGCGAGTGAGGAAAACGTTAGAGACTAAAAGTGAAGAAGAACAAGAGCCTTTGGACACCTCTGATGTTATCCGCCATGAGAGGAGGATAATTAAAAATAAAAAGATAAGATAAAGAAAGAAAAATCAAATTATCTTCAACGTTAGATAGTCATCTCTCTCGCTTTCATTTTCCTTCCCCACTCTTCCATATGATAATTCATTAAATTCCCACCAAAAAAATATTTTATTTTTTACTTTTTAAAATTTTCTAATTCCTTCTTTTATCCCTATTTCCCCCAATTTTATCGGGTGTGTCGTGCCATTGATCTGAATACAATAATACTCTTTTACCGAGTTATTAACCAATGGGCCTAATTATCCATCTTGAATATTACAACATTAAAGCCCACTAAGCTAATGGGCCTTACTGCTATCGGAAATTACAAGTGTGCCACTTCCTCTCTCTCTTTCGTTGGTTCCTTCAGATTTGCGCACCCAAATCCCTCTCTAAAACCTTGACACCGGAAACAGTGTGTGAGACAGAGACAAACTAAAGAAATGTTTAGATCCGTCGTAAGAACCGCTTCCAGGAACCTCAATCTCAACCGTAGATCCCTAACTCCAAACGACACCGTTTCTCATTTCCCTTCCGCGTCAACACTCATCCCCACCTTAAACCACATTCACCGCTCCTTCTCATCTTCCAAGAGCACTAAATCCACAATCACGAAAACCAAGAAATCCGAAGGCAAGAAATCCAAATCCAAAGGCGGCGAATCCGGCGCCGCCGGAGCCGACGACGGTGAGTTCGGCGGCTCCGCCGGAGATGACCTTGAAGCGGGTCGGGCCAAGAGGCTTGCCGATGACGAAAAGGTTCCGTCTTTAGATGTGGGTCCTAACGGGAGACCTCTTTTCACTCCCAGAGATGTTACTCTCTCGAAGCTCTCTCACAAAGATATTGGCTCCTACTTCAAATTCGAGTACATCTATATCCTCTCTTACCTTATTGTGTATCGTCTTTTGTTTTGGGTGTTGATGTTTTGTATAATGTGTGGATGATAGTGAAGCAGCGTTGAAAGCAGTGTTGCCGGAAGGATTGGTTTCAGGGATTGAAGATGAGTTTAAAGAGTCATGGAGACCTGCTTTGCTTGTGAGGAAGAGTTTCTTGGATCTTAGGGATAACTTTAGACGCATTGCTGATCCTCCTATGTGGCCTAATGAGGGTAAAGGTGTGATCTTTTGTTTCCTCCAATAAGAATAGTGATCTCTTCTAATCTGGCTTGTTAGTTAGACTTAACCAGTATTTGTAACACTAATCATATGCTACTTTGTTCTGTAAAAGGCCGTGTTAAGCCTAAGAAGCAGATTATCTTGGATGGTCCTGTTAAGAGTGGGAAGAGTATTGCTTTGGCGATGCTTGTTCACTGGGCACGTGACGAAGGATGGTTAGTTTTGTATGCGCCGAAAGGCCGTGACTGGACTCATGGAGGCTATTTTTACAAGAATCAACATACAGGTTTTTGGGACACTCCTTTACAAGCTGAGAGTATACTCAAGGCAAGATTTTCACTAGCCTCAGTCTCTTGGAAATGGGACTACAGAGAATTTTTTAATAAACTTGAAATTTCTGTAGGATTTTGTGAAGTTCAATGAACCTAGATTGAGAGAGTTACGGTGCAACATCTATGATCCCATTGTGCTTGGAGAGGGTGCGGGTGTAGGGTATTTGAAAGGACAAGATACTATGCAGATTCCTGAGGATTCGACTCTGTATGACCTTGTGCAAATGGGGATTAAGAGCACTCACGCTGCTGTTAGTGTCGTTGTGCGACTTAGGAAAGAACTCTCACTCGTTAAAGATGTTCCAGTCTTGATTGCAATTGATCAAGTTAGTCCCCCCAACTTTCCTTTCCTCTATTATTTTAAAGCTAAGCCTCTTTTTCACTAATGTTACTGCTGCTTGTTTCTTTTTGTTTACTTGTCTTTCAGTATAACAATTGGTTTACATTCAGTGAGTTTGAAGAGCCCGTAACACCACGTTCTTGCCGGCCTATACATGCAAGAGAACTTACTACGGTAATTATTTTTCTGTTGAAATATTATCTGAACTCAGGAAAACAAACAATAAATCACCAATTCACACAATTCATTTGGGCAGGTAAATGCTTTCAGGAGCATGATGCATGATGACATGATGGTGGGTGCATTCTCACATTCAACAGCAGTAGGAAAACTACGTAAAGACTTGCCAGATGTTCCAGCTGATGCTCGTCAGGATTTCCCTCGTTATAGTTTAGACGAAGCAGAAGCTGTCTGCTATTACTACCTTCGGTGAGTTAGACGAACTAACTATTTATGTACTCAACTCTTTAATCCTATAGTGATCATAGCTAATAATTTACATATTTATTAAGCCTATCTGCTTGAAACCTAAAGCGGATATTGATGTTATGAATACGCTTTTGTTGCAGGCAAAGACTGGTTAGGCGTGAGGTATTCTCAGAAGAAAATTGGAAGAAGATATACTATTTGGCTAATGGAAATGGAGCAGAGATGCGTTGGTTAGTCCCTTTCATGCGTTGAGAAACAAACAACATAGTTCTTTAATGTTGATTACTTTGATGTGACCTTTGCTGGTGTTTGAAGTTATCCCATTAGTTTGGGGAAAGAAACTCTTTTCAGTTTCTGATTTAAAAGGAAGATTCCTTGTTATTTGAGTTTTTGCTAGTTTAGTTTTTTTGGTCTTGTCTGTAAAAGACTTGTGGTTGGACCTAAATCTCTTCATAATAAAATCAATGCCTTTCATTTAGTAATGACTCCAGTTATCACACACATTCACAATGTATATGCAAATACATAATAGGAACAAAATAAATGAATAGAAAAGAATTGAGATTCAAAAATACATCAAAATGAGTTCTGTATTTTTTCACAAAAAGAAAGATTTTGGCCATAACATATTACTATATAACACCTCGAGTAAAAGACGCGAGTTCTATCGAAAACAACTTACTCAACAGAGCTATACAAACCAAAAAAAGAAGAATACAATTAGCTCATTTTAGGTATATGAAACCACACCCACCCACCAAACGTAACCACCAAGAAGAACCACATTCTTCTTACGGTTTATGAAAAAAATATTTAATGAAACCAAATTCTGATGTTGCTGTGATGATGATGATGATGGACTTAAACCGGTATTGCATCAACGTTGGATGAGTCTTCACATCTCAATACAATTCCTTCAAGGGTTGTTGGGAATGTGCATCTCCTCCATTGCCAACCAGCTGCAAGTGGCTCAGATGGTGGCACTATCATTAACACATTATCGTTTCTCTGCACCACTCCAATCACACTCACTGTGCTTCCTTCTTTTATATACCTGATATTAAAACCCCAACAAAGAGATTCTATCAAATCTTCTACTAATAAAATACGTTATGAGTCGTTTGTTAAATGAAAATGATTGTTTGTTACCCTTCTTTGAGCCGCATTATTCGATCATCACTTGATAGATTCTTCTTCTTTAACCAGTGAACAAAATCTGGAGACATTTGCTCATTTCCGTGCTTAAAATCTATAACAGCAGAATCATCTACAAGAGGTGTCACCTTTGCACTGTTTCCTGTTTTGACTAAGGCTCTGAGTCCAGATTGAAAATCTGATATGTAAAAGTCCACCACATGTCTCTGCCACACATATAAAATAAGTGTATTGATGAGGTTGGAGGCAGAAACATATAATATTTCTTCTGCAAAAAAAAAATGAAAACATAGAGGGAGTCACTAACCTCTGATGATCTCAGTCCCCATGTGAACAAACGATGTGAAGAATTAGCTGGTTTTGAACCCCATCCACGATACTCATATAGACATGTGGATGTGTACACACATCTAGGAACTCTCTGATATGATGACTCAAGCGGCACATTACCACAAGTAACCACCTACAAACATAAACATATAAAACTATGACTATTGATGCATTCATTAGCCAATGTCATTTCTTCAACTAACTAATATGCAACCATATACTTAATCGTATGAACATCTTACCCCAGTGACCTTAACGTATTGACCATTTTTAGCAGTTCTAAGGTCAGCATCAGGATAACGAGCAATGAATTCAGTGACACCACGTCTCCCCCAACAAATATTCCAAACAAAAAGCGCAGCAACAACTGCAAAGAAGATTGCAACAACGATGAGGAGCACAGGATTGTGAACTGCGCCAAGAATGAAGCCTCCGGCAAGGAACCCCATCACAAATATAAGAACAACCAGCCACAAGACAGGCTTTGGGAAGCTCTTGAGGCTGGAAAAGTCATCCAGAGGACCAAGGGTAGTTACGGCCGGGTTGTGTACAGCAACAACAGAAGGCATATGATGTGTCTTCAACGAACCAGACGAGTCTAAAGGACCAGAAACCTTTCTAGGAGCACCAGATGAATTTAAAGGACCTGATGTAATGAGACCAGTAGCCGGAAGAACAGGAATAGGACCGGAGTTTTGCCGTGTCCCAGCCCCAGATTGAGGCCCAGATGATTTCTTTAGAGGCTCTCCGTGCTTAGATAAAGGTCCAGAGTTTGTTTTCTTCATGGAGACAGAGCCAGCAGCAGAAGCTAAAGAGCCAGACATACGAGTGGTAGCACCAGCGTTAGGACCCCCTTGACCTGATTGTGCAAATGAGGCAGACCTTGAAGGAGCACCGGAGATGGGACCAGACTTTCTTGACTTTGTCCCATCCGTTGGAATCTCAAACATCTTCCCCAACTCTCCTGACTTCTTGATGTCTCCACCAGTGTAAGGCATTGCTACTGAGCTCATCGTTGGAGGTCTTTCTTTGGGTTGCTCGGGACGACCAGACACGAAGAGGCCGTTGCCGAGCTGGTGAGATGGGTATCTCGAACCCATTTTTAGGTTTACTTGAAAGAAAAACCAGAGTAACTTGAACAATGAGAGCACCTACAGAGACAACAGAGGAAGAAGAGATGAGAGATTGACTCCGAAGGAAGACTGCTTCACATGTAATAGACATTAAAAAATATTAAATCAATGAAATAAAGAAAAATACATCGCCGGATCGAGATAGTGACAGGTGAAACCATGGGAAATAATAACACAATCCCAAAAAAAAAAAAGGTTCAGAGACCTATGCCGACAAGCAAACAACCAGAACTTGAGTTTAATAAAAAATCAGACATAACTTGAAGTGGACCATTAACTAATAGGCTCAGATCTTTAAGGTTTCGGTAATAACCAACCAGGTATAGTTTTTAAACAAAAGATCAGCAGAACAAAACAAAAGATGATCACACGAGAAAGATCGAATCTAAGAACAATGAGGAGAACCTGAGAGAGTGTAAGATTCCAAGAAAATGTAGTCCACGCCGAGGAAAGAAAAGAAACTATCAGGAAAAGTAGTTGCTATTCTGGGAGTGACAGTAGAAAACAGAAAGGAAGCAATAGTGAGGAAGAAGAGATCCCATATCCCTTGAGAGCTCTCTGTTCTTCGTCGTCGTCTTGGATCTTGATTTTTCTCTCTCTCTATCTCTCTTTGAGCTGTAACAGCTGATGAGTTGTCTCTCTCTTTCTCTCTCTCGTCTTCCCTTTTCTTTCTCTCTCTAAAGGGCTAAGATTTATTTTTACTTGTCCACCAAACTGTGAGAGAAGGAAGAAGAAACACTCTCTTCTTCTTTCTTTTTTTTTTATTACATGAGAAAACAAAGAAGATATTAAAGACATTGTAGGATTTTAATTTTGAAAATTAATGTTTTCAATGTCGACAATACGAAACTGTATTTTTATAATCATTTAATAAATATTATTTAATCATTTGGTAATAAACTAGTAATATGTAAGACCACCCGCAACAAAGACTCCTTAAGGAAAATACTTAAGAAAATATTAATTTTATAATCAATGGGTCCCATGAACAGTTAAGGATTTTAAGTAAGGATTGATTCGGATGAATCCTTACACTATTCATGGGCTCCACTGCCCACGTGTCGGTCCACGATTGGTCAGTTTTTTATTTTAAAGAAATAATCCGAAATATCCTTATATAATCTGAAATACCCCTTTTTCTTTTTTCCTAAGGATTCCCCTTAAGGATTCTTTGTTGCGGATGCTCTAACTTGTCCATTTTAGTCATCTTTTCACCTAATGTTCTCAATGTCGACAATGCGAAACTGTATTTTATAATCATTTAAAAATAGTATTTAAATATTTAATCATTTGTAGAAATATGTAACACTAGGTAATTTTCCCGTGCTCATATACGGGTATAAATATTCATAAAAGTAAAATTTTATAATAATTGATTGATATTTAGTTTTAGTTTTGAATAAATTTTATGACTTTGGATATATTATTGTCTGTTAAATTATCTTTTGAATCAATAGTCGGTTTGGTTATCAATTTGGTATATTGGATAATATTTGTTTTTCAAATTCAGTTATAATATTTTTTATTCTAAATATAATAAACTTTGATTATTTTCTTATTTTCATTTCGATGGGTTATTGCCTTAGATATGTCAATATATTATAGTTAAATTATGTATAACTTAATATATATTGTGCTTAAAATGAAATAAATAATAAACTGAAATGTTTGATTCAAAATTACATAAATGAATATAATGATAATATTTTGAAGTCTCATGCATATATATAAACTCTACAAAATAGTTAAATTGTTATTGGTTAATATTTTTTTTTCTTTTTAATATGCTTTGAGTCAACCTCTAATTTATATGTATAAAATTAAATAGATTATTATTATTATTATTATTATTATTATCACTATTATTATTATAACATTATATGTTCTTATTGTAGTTAGATGATTAATTTTGGATATAAATTAGATTAGTCGAGTCATTCATTTTGGAGTATATTGAGTTAAATATATTTTTAAATTAAAATCGAAGTATAATTACTTTTTATTTTAGTTAAGTCAAATCAAATTAGTTTTATTTATCGCTTAAATATACATGTATTTTCATAATATTTATTTACTCTTTTTTTTAGTTAAGTCAAATCAAATTAGTTTATTTATCGCTTAAATATACATGTATTTTCATAATATTTATGAAATCACATGTTGATTTCTAAAGAATATTAGAAAATAAAGTGTAACTGGTAAATTTTAAATGTTCATGAACATATATATTTTTATTATTTTGGAAATATATTTTATGTTATTTAAAAATATATATTAATGAGGGTATTACTATTTTGTGAATTTTTCTTTTTAATAAAGTCATATTACATACATATATTTTCGTTTTAAAATTTGTTTTTAAATTTTAGAAATATTTCTTTTTTATTATATATGTTATTTGGAAAAAAGGTAAAAAAAAAACTAAATAAAAAAATTAATAATAATCTTAAAATCAAATAATTCATTAAGGGTATCTATGTAATCAACCATTGTGAGAGCTAACATGAGCGCGACACGTAGGAAACTGACTTTTCAAATAATATTATAGAGATGTCCAGTTTAATCATCTTTCCACCTAATATCCTTATAATTAAAATTAGTTGGTCGTCTTTCTATTCTAAAATCTACAAATGACGTTTTATTGGGTTATTTTGCTTTTGTCGATTTGGTTAATTATTGGAAACTTTTCTTTCAAGCAAAGTTAAATTCGAAATAATGATTAGTCACTTTCGATTGGTTAGTCTTTTATTACCCGCAAATCAAGGTTTACGTTTACATCATCTAATTTAGTCACCGCTTTAATATGTGAGAAATTTCATTGATTAGTAACCTTAATGCGCGAAAGACACGTAATAGGCTAATAATGTAACTCAATTATAATGATTGAACCAAGACGGAGAAAAACCATATATATATACACAATAGATATATGTTTATTTTAATTACGAAATAACGTAAGATATGTATAAAAGTACAAATTTTGAGTCGGTCTCTTAAGACTCTTGATCGTATAAAACTAAGCTAGGAATAACCACACAAACGTGATTACTTGTCTTGACGATTTGTAAAGTGTAGTTTATCTTAATCATCAAATGAAAACGACGTGTTGAATACTAGGTCTCGTCATTAACATCTTTCATGATTTATATATATATATATATATTTTTTTTTCAAACACATAGTCACGGTGTCTGATGATAAACCAGTAAGATCTGAGTAAGACACATGAAAAAAACGTAAAAAAAAACTTGAAGTCTCATACACCACGTGTCCGCGTCACAGTGTTAGACGAGCCACCTCCTTCACGTTCATCATTTTCGTCGCTTTATGGTTCACGCGTTGTACACGTGTGTGTTTGTCCCCACCACGTCTCCTTGCTCGCCGACTTACTAGCCTGCCAAAACAATAACCTCTTGTAAACATATTCTCGTCCCAAAACTTTTATCCCTTTGTTTCACTCACTTTACCTCATTGTTCAAAAACAGAGAACCCTCAAAAACGTAACTAACATGGCGGGAAAGTTAAAGCCTGGGCAAGTTTTTCACGTGCTATGCATATTTTCTGTCGTCTTATTCCTCTTCGTATTCGCTGTGAATGTTTCTAGTGAAGCGGTGCTAGCTGAAGATAAAACGGCGACGGTTTGGCTAACTAGAGTCAAACGGTCTGGTAATGATTACTGGTCGAAACTCAAAGAGACTTTAGGTCGTGGTCACTCCCGCTTTTTTCCTCCTAACATAGAGTAAGTAAGATATAATATTATTTATCTTAGAGATTATACTAATCAAATCTGTTCATAAACTTTTATTTAGCTTTAGTTATTTTCTTTCCCTTTGTACAGTTTTAGAGGAAAGGATGATGCAGTAGAGATTGGAGCGGGAGAAAAGATGAAAGAAGCGGTCACGAGGAGTTTCGAGCATAGTAAAGATACGGTGGAGGAAGCTGCCAGATCAGCGGCGGAGGTGGCGTGTGATGCGGCTGAAGCGGTGAAAGAAAAGATGAAGAGGAGTGTTTCCGGGGGAGAGACGAAGCAGCAGCAGCAGTCGGAGGGTACTAATGAACTTTAAGGACGTTGTCACTTTAGCTCTTGTGGTTTTTTTAGTGTGTGTGTTTGTTCGATTGGTGGTCTGAAAAACAACGCCAGTTTTGCCACGTCTCATATGCTTGTATTATTTTTCTGTCGACCCACATGCTTTTTCTTTATATGCTCATCGACCATGTCACATGTCGAATCGTAGTTCTTCCTTATCCTTTGCGTGTAAAAAAGTATTTTAGTTTCAAATGTTCAACTACTTATCTTCAGCTGGTTGATGAGAAAAATGGTTTATTAACGTCTTATTTTGCATCAGGGATTTGAGATCTCATAATCAAATAAGTATCTAGGAGTTCTTACCTTACAAATATCTTCTCTCTATCTTTTTGCCAAAAAGCGCGAAAATATCTATTCGTGAGACAGAATATCTTTTTGCCACTCAAAAATATCCTATCCTTAAAGTGTTGTAAATAGTCATACCACTGAGAATTAGAAGATGCAAAGCAAAACATCGACAGCGATTCCCACACTGTTACTTAACCGCAAATTAAACAGTGCAATTTTATAATAAGAAAACGAATCTTAAAATCAGTTGAACTTGTCTTAAATCTTAATTAAACGCCCCTAATAATAAACTCAGGAACTTGTCTTAATTAAACGCCCCTAGTAATAAACTCAAGCCATTAGTTTTTCCTAGTCTCAGTGATTAAAAGTAGGCTAAAAAACGACAACACAAAACAAAGATAACTCGTGAAGAAAAGAAACATTATCAAATTATAGGTAAAATACAATTAAAAAACTAAAATATCCAAAAAAGAATTAAAAAATGTCGATAAAAAGGAGGGAGACATGGCTCTTATCCTTTTATCTCCAAACCAAACCAAACTCATCTTATCTTTTTAATTACAGCTTTCAACAAAACACAAACCAAACCTCTCTAAAGATGGCTCGTTCCCTCTCGCTCTCTCTCTCTAAATCCCGCCTCATCGCAGTAGCTGCATCCTCTCTCCTCCCTTCCTCACACCTCCTCTCCTTCCGATCTCAATCCTCTCATCTTCATGGCGATCTACACGAAACCGAAACCTCCTCGCCGTCGTCTGATCCGTTAATACAGAAGCTAGAAGACGCTGTTCACCGGATATTCGTACGCCGAGCGGCACCTGATTGGCTCCCGTTTGTTCCCGGCGCTTCGTATTACGTCCCTCCTCCAGGATCTGGGTCTCAGACTCATGGGATCGCTCAGCTCGTTGCGAAGTTAGCTAATCCGTTAACTGATGAAGAAACTCTCTCTACCAATTCTTCTCATGGATGGCCTTCCTCTGATTATTTTCTTAAAGGTTTGTATTTTCATTCAATTTATTATAAAATTGCGTTTTAAGTTGTAGTTTAAAGGAGATTGATCAAAAGTTTGTAGTAGGCCTGGGCATTTTTAACTTAAACCGAAATACCGAACTTAACCCGAACCGGAAAAATCGAAATCGAATCCGAACTGTTTTACAAAAATATCCGAACGGGACTTATGAGCTTAGTACTTTGGACTATCGTTATAATCCGAACTTAACCCGAACCGGAAAAACCGAAACCGAATCCGAACTGTTTTACAAAAATATCCGAACGGGACTTATGAGCTTAGTACTTTGGACTATCGTTATAATCCGAACCGAAATCCGAATTAGAATCCGAACATATCCGAAATTAGTTAAATATGTTAATGTTTTTATATATGTTAAGATGATTTAGATATTTTAGAGTATTCAAAATATTTTTGTAGTTTATTTTATTTGTTATTTTGAATACTTTTTAGTTAATTTAGATAGTTTAACTAATTTTTAATTAGATTTGTAAATAATTTATATATTTTGAAATTTTTTTTGTCAATTTTCGAGGTTTTAAAAAATATATTTTTGGACGATTTTAAACATTGGTTAGATCCGATCCGAACTAAACCTGGAAGGAACCGAACCGAATCCGATCCGATAATTAGTAAAAACGGAATGGTACTTGTGAATCTAACACCAAAAATCTGAAAATCTAAATAACCCGAACCGAAACCGAATGGGCCACCGAACGCTCAGGCCTAGTTTGCAGTTTTGCGTTTGGTCTGAAAATTAATTTGTTAATTAATCCTCATTAACATATAGGTGTACAACCTCTAGTTTGCAGTTTTGCGTTTGGTCTGAAAATTAATTTGTTAATTAATCCTCATTAACATATAGGTGTACAACCTCGATTGAAGGAGACTAAGATCGAGACGACTTCAAGTACTGAGTCTTATTACTCTGAGGATGAGGAAGTGTGAAAACGACACCGTTCAAAGAATCATAAGGTCTTATGATTTTGTTGGGTTTGGTTCCTTCAGATTGAAGTTAGCTGGCACTTTTGGATCTCTGTAGATTTGTCAAGAACACGAGCCGGGACTGTTCTGACGACGTCCGAACCAATTGCATAGACGAGACAAAATGTTTATTTACTAATCCCAAAATTGTAAAATAATTCGAATAAGAGTAGTAGTAGTAGTTGTTCGCTTGTAGCTTTTCTTTCTGTTTAGTAATGTAATCATTGCCTTGTTATAAAGCGCTTTGTATATATTTCTGTTTACACGAAGGTACTAGGATCAGCCAGGGTTGGTACTTTCTTGGTACTTCCAAGTTGGTCTACCTTGGTATTAAAATATCTAATAAAATCTTCTTGTAAGTGACAAGAAGATGTGAAATTAGGTATTTCATTTCTATAATACATAAAAGAATTACAGACAGCTCAGCTCCCACTAAAAATACCTATACAGTTTCCCTCAAAACTCATCCAGTAGAAATAGATAACTCATTGTATGAATTAGAAACATCAACGTCCTCCTTCCATTTCTCAAAAACTGATCTAAACTCATAACAATCTTTTGGATAACGAGATAAGAAACACAACACTTTAAACTTAGTATTAGGATCCAACTCAACGCCCTCCTCAATGCATTCCCAAACAACTTTTTTCAACCTATCTTTGTCCTTCTCCTCACACAAACCAGAGATAATAGTTCTATAAGTCCGTCTATTCGGCATAACTCCATCTTCTTTCATCTTGGACAAAAGAGAACAAGCTTCCTCTATTCTTCTCCCACGCACAAGTCCCTTAACCGCTACCGTATACGACACAACATCTAACTCATGTTTCTCCAAGATACATCTGTTAAACAAACGGATGGCAGTACTGTACTCACCAAGCTCCACAAGACTATCTATCATCACAGTATGAAAATGAGCATCGAGGGAGATGTTCTTCTTCCTCTTTATGATCTCGTAGTACATGTTTAAGGCGTCACGAGGCGCTTCTCCTTGACAAAGCGCAGTAAGAAAGCCAGTGTATGTATAACAATCCAAAGCTAAATCTTTGTTAGACATGTCGCGGAACACTTTCAACGCTGCCAAAGTGTTACCAACCTTGCAAAGATAGTTTATGAGCGAGTTTCCCATAACTAGATCCAACTCTGTCTCAGTACCAATGGTGATACCGAGATCAAAGTCTCTAGAGACGCATAGACTAGAGAGTATTGTTGCAAAAGTATACTGATCCGCCACAAGTTCTCCTTTCTTTAAACTATTGAGAAAAACGTTACGCGCTTCTTGGAATCTTCCGAGTCTTGTGAATGTATGTATCATCACATTCACTAGAACAATATCTGGAGCTAAACCTTTAGATTGCACTATCCTCACCGCACTAAACGCTTCATCAACCATTCCATAATCCATAAACCCTTTGATCAAACTAGTATACGTCACTAGATTCGGTTCACAACCCATCTTGTTGAACAGATCAACCGCCTTTCTCGGCTCTCCTGAACGGAAAAACCCACTAACCAACATGCTCCACACATTAACAGACACAGAGACTCCACTACTTATCATCAACCCAACAACTTGAAACCCTTCAGCAACACAACCTCTCCCACAAAACACTCCAAGAACCTGACCAAACCTCTCACCGTTAGGATAAAAACCTTCTCTAATCATCATCTTCAAAACTACTTTAACCCTAACCAAATCTTTTCCACTACACAAGTGAGGTAAAGCAATATCGAAACTAAAGAAGTTCCTAACACCTATCCCTTCAAAAACTTCCAAAGCTCGGTCAACAAGATTGGCTTTGAAAAGAACATCCATCATCATATTCATGGCACGTGTGTTGGGCACGTAACCAAATCTACTCATGCCTTTATAAACCTCTATAGCCTTATCATACACATGACCACGCCATAATATTTCAAGCAGTAACAATAAAACTCGAGGCTTTATTACACAACCGTTTACTATCAACACCTCTATGACTCGGTCAATGCTCTTGTGTTGGTGAGTTAGTCTCACGACAACATTAACCATGTGGTTAAACGCTCTGTCATCGTGGAAGTAGTTGTTCTGTTTCGCGCAGGAGAGGGAGAAAGTTAGGGTTTTTAGATCGGGAGTGGATTCTTGTAAACGAGAGTAGACGTCTTCGTGTGTGAGTGGTGGTTTTGGAGAAGCTCGTTGTTGAGAAAGTTCGTTGATTTGGTTTGGTTTCGGTGAGAAGTGAGTGTGGAGCGAAGAGAAACAGAGTGTGTTAATGAGTTTCCTTCTCTGTTTTACCCAGTTGGATCTCCATAGCATCTTACCTTCAACGTCAAGATTCTAACCATGAAAACGAGTTTCCGGGAAACCTAACTTTAGATTTAAGAGAAAGGTTGCGACTTTAAAAGCGAAAAACCGCCGGAAAAGTGAGAGAAGCGATGGAAGAGGCGGAGGCAGCAAGGGTTAAGGGATTGATTAACCGGTAACGGGACTCGGTTTGCTACTTTTTGAAACCGATACACTTCGGTTTTGTTAATTAACTAAGATTTTAACTTGCTTTGTAATTGTTAACGATAATTATTTCATTTACAACTTACAAGATAATTTATTGTTTAGTCACATCAAGAACATGATTATATGATAAAATGAAGGGTAGACGATCTATTTACCCATGAGAACTATCATATAGTATCAGATCCCCACCGAACTATGACCTCATGCTAGATCTCCACGAATTGAAAATTGCAAACCTATTTCTCCCCGAATTAAAAATTGCAAACTTATTTCTCCCCGAATCAATACTTCAAAACTTAATTACCCACAGACGATGGTTTTAATTGGTTTATTCTTAACCAAACATCTTAAAATCAAGTAAACCAAACCAAAATC